ACTTTGTTTTCATGCAATAATTCATCCTAGTAAGGCTAATATGCCGAACCGTACCTCGCCTACTCCACTAACTAGTCTAGGGAGTCGCCTACGCCTACTCCCTAACCCGAACCCTAACCCTAATCCTAACCCTAACCCTAATCCTAACCCTAACCCTAATCCTAACCCTAACCCTAATCCTAACCCTAACCATATCAAATAGTGACCAGGGTAGTTGTAAATAGGGTACGTTCCGGCAGTACTCTGGGGGACATAGACCCTATGAGCGCTACTACTACTAGCTCCAAGAAACGGTCATACATCAAGAGACGTACATGTGTATATTGACGTTAGTCACACAGCCTGGGCGGGCTAGTAATACTAATATTACTATGTGAATAAATTCTCAATCTATTATGAAAACATGTTACTAGTTTTCCTTCCTGTTAGCAGTGTGTCTGTTGCTATAGTCTACCTCAATGTTAGCTATAGTAAATATAGCCCGCGTACAGTTGCCGCAGGCTGTACTGTACGTGGGCTATAGTTACTAGCGCTACCTCAATGTGAACAGGTTAAATGATCTTATATGTTGATCGTAAATTATTATAGCTGCAACAATTAACACATTATTAAATAATGTTAATTTATATTTAAATATTATATTACTACCCTATTGCTACCATGACAGGCATAATAGTATTTAATTTTTAGTTATTTAATGTAAACATTGAAACCCCGTGATGGCTTCTAAGTTCTAGCATTCTACATCATAGTATGATTAATACATTCATTCATAGGTTCTGCGCATTTGTTTGGGCCAATTGTTAACACAAAAGATATAGATAGACATTGAGAATAGAAAATAGCCAATTGAGCAAATGCCAAATCTAAACATACACTGAGCAGGCGACCGGAAGTAACAGGTTATCTGGATTTTTCCTGGTTCCAAGATCATTCATGATTAGTGCTATATGTGTCGTATTTTATAGAAATGGACAAAGCAACACCGAAGATTAGCTCAATGGCTAAAGAGATGAACCTCGATTTGGAAGAGTTGCACATAAATGAAGGAAAAGAACTTATCACTTACGATCCTGAAGATACACCATGCACCTTGATTGTAACTGGATTGGCGCTTGAAGTGTTTGAAGACCCTGATAATAAGGCAAGTTCTATCTTTGAGAATCAAACCCCAAATTTATTTCAATTATCATAATAAAAATTAACAGGAAAGGAAATGCTGGGAACTATTTAGTGAAGAATACCAAATGAGATTAGAGGTTTTTGTTCACATTGCAATGTGTTCCTGGTTGTTGGGATTTTTTGTTATAGACTGAATTTTTGGGCACAAATAACTAGCTCAACAGAAAGATATCAGGTCTTATGGAGGCATTTGTGCATCGTCATCTATAATGTACTTAATTGTGGAAGTATTGCAGAAACAAGAAGTCTATCTTAGTGTTACGTTTCTGTTCTGTATCCTTTTTCTAGATTATAGTTCTTTATGTTAGCTTGGTTGTTAGTTACCTCGTCAAAACACACAAGCAATGGGACTGACAAGGCATTAAATCCAGGCAAAGCAACGATTTGCTTGAGGCATTTTGAGGAAAAATGTGATTGCTTTTCATCAGGTATGGCCAGTGTTTTCATTGGTTGTATTGATTAAAGGGAGAGTTTACTCTAGGTTCTAGGGTTATTTTCAGCTAATTTAGGTTATAATTACGCTACATCCTTCTATGTTCTACTGCAATAATCGCGTCAATAACTCTAAGCATGCGAATAGCAGCAAATGTGCCGCGGTGCGAATAGCAAGCAAACGTGTCCTTGTTCGCACCGCCGCGGTGCGAATAGCAGCAAATGTGCCGCGGTGCGAATAGCAAGCAAACGTGTCCTTGTTCGCAACGCCGCGGTGCGAATAGCAGCAAATGTGTCTTTATTCGCACCGCAGTGCGAATACCCTTTGCGGATCTGATCACTGCACACTGGCGCCACCTTTTGTCACATTCCCGAGTCAAAAATGGCAGACAGCGAGGTGCCTGTTGTCGTTCCTCCGTAAAAAAGTAAATATCTCGTAGATAGTAATATCTCGTGTGCATAGTAAAATCTTATCTACATGCTTCACTTCGCTCGCAGCATCGCGCCACGATTCCCAGCTATGCTAATGTATGGGCAAATGGCGCTGACGTCGGTCGCCATTGACTGCCAAGACAATATTCTTCGGCCGTTCTTATACGTTCAAACTGGAGCCGGCCAGGCTGACAGCACGTGTGCATAGTAAAATCTGATCTACATGCTTCACTTCGCTCGCAGCATCGCGCCACATTTTCCAGATATGCTAATGTATGGGCAAATGGCGCTGCAACGTCGGTCGCCGTTGACTGCCAAGATAATATTCTTTGCAGGTAAAGCTAGTGCGCGTATGTTACCGCACCTAACAACTCGTTCCTACACATTATATTCTGCAGGGTAAATAAGTAGCAATAAGTAATTATTCAAGCACAGACCTACGCTCTACCTGTGCAGTCATTTTCTACGCTATAAAACTACGTAAGTAAATTTATGCATAAACATAAGCGTATAAAATAACTCCCTGTATACGTAGCAGGCCCTACGGACGAGTACCGCCTAACCCCACACCACCACCATAGCCACAGGAAAGCATAAGGCAGTTGAACGTACAAGCGCGCGTACACGCGCACGCACTCGCACACACACAAAATTGATACGTAAGTGTATACTATATCTACATTCTTTCACATGCGTTGGCTGTCGCGCTCACATGGGGAGAGGATCGACTGATCAGCTTTGTCTCTGAGCAATAATGCCGCAAGTTACCTGCACCCCAACCCCTCCTAATACATTACTATAGGGTCATGTGAAATGCAGGGCAGTGCTGTGCAAGTGAAATATTGGGATCGCCACCCGCTCTAAAGTATAAGCACCTTATGACCCCGAAAACGACTGGTACTGTATATACTAAATTTAAATATTGCAACAAAATATTATTGCTTTCGGGGCGATTGTACGTGGTCGCAGAAACGGTAACAGTAATGAAAAGTAAACAACACGCTAGACAATAATGGTTCGCTCCTGTCCTTCTGGTGAGAAGTAATAATATTCCACTTTAATGCATTTTTTAATCAATTTTTTACTTGTAATGTCAGCTTCTGCCACGAGGTAGCAGCATCGTCCAGTCATGTAATCGATTGTAAAACCGGCTTCTGCCACGAGGTAGCAGGATCGTCCAGTCAAGTAATTTATCGTAAATATATTCGTTATTATGGTAACGCGTTTTTATTATATTTATTCATTTATTTATTTTATTATTTATTTATCAACACGCATACATACATATTTCAGTATGCTTTCCCTAATCCACAGCTTTCGCGAGAGGTGTGTAACTCAGTGACACAAAGAATACTGAATAGTATTACACTGTCTAATACACGTACACGTATACACGTATATACGTATACACGTAATACACGTACAATACGTCTTTGATGCATTAAGCTATAGTAGCCAACAGATCATATATACCTACACATGCATTATATATGTCCAGTCATGTACTACAGTAATTCGAGTTTCTGTATAATATATATATATATAAATTTAACACCAATACTATATAAATAAATTTTTAGTCTATTATTAAAACATGTTACTGGTTTTTGTTTCCGTTAACAGGAACAGCATACCATACTTAATCACTTTTATTGATTTAACGTAAATTTTATGTAAATTTTTACCTGGTAGGGTCAAGTTAATGACGCCATAAGTCATCTTCCCTAGGTTACCGAGAGGTAAAATTAAGGGTACTAATTACCTTTGATGTGAACATGCCACATGTGAAATATCAAAGTAATTGAACAAGAAATGTCGACGATATGTCTAATAACGTCACTGAAATGCGCTAAAATGCAATTTGATGACGTCACGCGTCATCTTCTAGGGGTCACCCAAAGGTCAAATTACGGCTACTATAATTACCTTTGATGTGAATATACCAGGAGTAAGATAATATAGGAATATAGGAATATAAGAATATAGGAATATAGGAATATACTACATGTGAAATATCAAAGTCATTGGTTGAGAAATGTAGATGATATGGCTAAAAAAGTCAATTTAATGCCATCATAGGTCATTACGTAGTAGTTACCAAGAAGTCAAATTACGGCTACTAATTACCCCTACTGTGAACATACCTCGTGTGAAATATCAAGCTAATTGGTTGAGAAATGTTGATGATATGAGTCATATGACTAATTAAGTCACAAACAATGTGGAAGAATGCTCCAAAAATTTCCCGTTTTATGCCTTTGGGATTCCCCAAAATGGGTCAAAATTCCGTCACAAAAATGCATGTAAAGCCCGCCGCACACGCTGTGTTTTGTGCTGCGCCATCGGCCACGCGTGGCTGATGGTGCAGCACAAAACACAGCGTGTGCGCATGCAAACGCATCGATTTCTTGCCTGTGGAAAATATCACACGTGTTTGATATTTTCTTCCACGTGTGGCAGATTGCACAGCGTGTGCGGAGTGGCTGTGTCAAGTTCCACACCGGCTCTATGTAACCGACCAATAGCAGCAGGTCAAGCGAGTCACGTGATCTTAACTTGCGGTTGCAGCGCGGTACACGCACGTACACGCAGGTACACGCACGTACACGCGGGTACACGGAGACACGCGGGTACTCGCTTGACCTGCTGCTATTGGTCGGTTACATAGAACCGGTGTGGAACTTGACACAGCCACTCCGCACACGCTGTGCAATCTGCCACACGTGGAAGAAAATATCAAACACGTGTGATATTTTCCACACGCAAGAAATCGATGCGTTTGCATGCGCACACG